GTCCGGCGGCGCATCCCGACGAGAATTCCAAGGCAGATCCAGCCGTGGCGACGAGGGCCTCCCAGGAGGCACAAACGGGCGAAAACGAGGGAAGAGTGGCGGCATCGGTACCTCGATCAGGAAAAGAGAAAAACACGTCATGCACAGAAACCCCTGGCGCTCCGCGCAGAGCGTCACAAAGCTCCTGTGTGCGGCGTTGTTTCTTTTTCTTCTTCGATCCGTCTCCGCTGAAACACAGCCGGCTCAAGAGGCTCTCGACCCCACCCCGCGTGCAGACCTCTGCGCACGCGGGCCCCGCGCGCGGGCCCCGCGCGCGGGTCCTCGGCGCCGCCGTCGCGGCCGCCGGCCCGCCGCATCTCCTCGATCTGCGCCTTCTGCGCCTCGACCTCGCGGCCGCAGCGCGGCCGCCCTCGTCGTCGACCCTCGACCGTGGACTGTCGGTCGTCGGTCGATGATCATCGTTGTCGCCATCGTTGTCGTCGTCGTCGTCGTCGTCGTCGAACGTCGTCGTCGTCGTCGCTCCTCGTCGCCGTCGTCGAACGTCGTCGGCGCCGTCACCGATCGTTGATCGGTAACATCGGCGGCGGCGGCGCCTGTTCCGACCGCGCCGCGCCCAGGCGGCGGTGTCGCTGTCAAGCGGAGGAGGACAAACCAACAAGCGGCAACCAGCGAACAGCCGAGCAGGCGAGCAGATGGACGAGTCAACAGATGAGCACTTGAACGAGGTGAGCGGAATGCTTGTAGCCAGAGGGGACCCGCGCTGAGCCACAGCGACGAGCAGGACGACGATGACACAGGAGGCGGTGATATTCGGACGCTTACTTTTACATTCATGCCAAGCTCCACAGCTGGTGTCATGATATCTGTCTTGCGATTCGCACATGTTGAATTTGAGTATCAGTGCTCCGATTCTGAGCTGAGTGTTCTGACTGTGAATGCGTGTGAGCCTGAGTGGGTCTGAGTACCAGTGGGCATGAGGTCTGAGTATGACCAAGCTGAATGTTCTGACTGTGGGCGTGTGTGAGTGTAAATGAGTCTAGGTGGGAGCCAATGGGTATCAGTGATCTGAATTTTCATGAAAGGGAGGAAGAAAGCGGGAAGGAGGCGGAGACGCCACACTCGGCATTCGACGCGGAGATGCCCATACATGTGCATCTCAGCTCCTGGCGCCACCATCTGTGAGAGTCTGAGTGAGAAAACCTTTGCCTGTGGCGACTGGGTTGTCCCTGGCGGATCCCCCTCGGAGCCCCCGTGGAGCGCCCACATGCTCTTCCTGCTGTAATTATCGGGGTGCTCCCGGGGCTCTGCGAGGAGAGGGGTCGGAGGTGCCTAAACCAACGTTTCGTCCGACTCGCTCGACACACCCTCACGATCTGCTCTGGAAGCAGCTGAGTCCCACCCGCGAAACGAGCGCCTCGCAATCTGGGCGCGAACGCGCCCGTGCGACAACCCCCTGGCGGCTCCCCTTGGGGTGCGGAAGCCAGCGGCTCGCTCGAGACGTCCTCGCAGTCGGCTCTGCGAGCGCCGGTCTCCACGGGCCGCCCAGCGAGCGAGCTGCCCGAGGCATCCCCACGATCCGGGCGCGAACGGGCCCGTGCAGCACCCCCTGACGGCTGCCCCCTGCGGTGCTGCAGCCAGCGCCTCGCGCGAGGCATCCCCACCATCGGTTCGGAGAGCACGGGGATCCAAGCCATCAAGTAAGCAACCCGCCTGAGACATCCCCACCGTCTGGGTGCGGGCGGGCCCGTGCAGCACCCGCTGGCGGCTGCCTCTTGGGGTTGCTGAAGCCAGCGCCTCGCCCGATGAACCTTCACAATGTGTTCTGAAAACGCGGGGATCTAAGCCACCAAACGAGCACCACGTCTGAAACATCCGAACAATCGGAGCGCGAACGGTTCTGTGCAACACCTCCTGGCGGCTACCCTCGAGGTGCTGAAGCCAGCGCCTCGCTCGAGACATTCTCACAATCGGTTCTGAAAGCGCCTGAGTCCAAGCCATCAAACAGGTAACCAGCCCGAGACATCCTCACAGTCTGGGTGCGGGCGGGCCCGTGCAACACCCGCTGGTGGCTCCACCTTGGGGTGCTGAAGCCAGCGCCCCGCTGAAGAAATGTTCACAATCTGTTCTGGAAGCACCGACGTCCAAGCCACCTAATAGGCAAACTGCCTCAGACATCCCCACAATCTGGGCGCGAACGGGCCCGTGCAGCACCCCTTGGCGGCTGCCTCTTGGGGTTGCTGAAGCCAGCGCCGCGTTCGAGACATCGTCACACGTTGAGCGTGAGGCGAGCCTGAGTGTGAGTGGTCTGTGTGTGAGAGTGAGTGAGTGAGTATGAGTGTGAGTGGGTCCGAGTGTGAGTGACTCTGAGTCTGAGCCTATGTGAGTATGAGTGTTTCTGAGTGTTGAGTGTGAGTATGAGTAAGTCTGAGGTCTGAGTCTGAGTCTGAGTGAGTCTGAGTGCGAGTGAGGAGAGCGAGGGGAGACAAGGAGGGAAAAATTAAGGCGTCCCAGCAATCAACCATTCGGATACGGGGGAACCGCAAGAGCCCCCTTTTTCCGGCTCTGGGGAAGGAACGCCTTCTCGGGGGCACGCGCTGGCCACCCGCGGGCCGCATCTGCCAGCTGACAGCAGGGCAGGGGAGGAGGAGGGGAAGGGCGGGTGGGGCGCGGCGGGGGGGGGGGGGGAACGCGCCATGCAGCACGACATCCAATCCAGGATGGCCGAAGCAGCCAGGAACGGCTGGCCCCAGGGGACAGGCGATGGCGCTGGGAAGGAGGACTGCGGTGTTGCCGCTCCCGCCGCGTCGCCACTGTGTGCTTCCCGCCGCCTCCATGACTGCAGTCGGCCGCGTCCTCGGCCGGCCAGCAACCTTTACGCTGCGAATCTGAGCACGTTGGGATGTCGCGTGATCTCTGCGGCTCAATTCTCGAGGCTATCCGCGGTATGCGCTGTGGGCGGGCCCCTTGCAATACCGCACAGGAGAACGGCGACAGCACACACTCAAGCGGTCGCAGTTTTTGGTGGCCTGTGTGCCGTCAGGCTGCGGAGCGCAGTTCGCGGCCCAGCTCTGCCAAGGGAGGAGGACACTGAGGAGGAGAAAAAGGGGAGGAGGAGGAGGAGGCGGAGGAGGAAGAGGTGGACGATGATGATGATGACGGTGACGATGATGATGCTGCTGCTGATGATGATGATGATGATGATGGTGGTTGTGGTGGTGGTGATGGTGCTGACCATGATCATACCGCTGATGCTGCTGTTGATGATGACAGTGCCGATGCCAGTGATGATAAGGATTTTGATGATGACGATGGTGATGCTGATGATTGCATAAATCATGATGGTGACGATGATGCTGATGATGATGGTGATGATGATGTTACTGGCGACGATGATACATACTAAAGATATGATTATGATCATGGTGAGGATACCGGCGATGCTGATGAGAGTGATGATGCTGCTGATAATGACGATGACGACGATGCTGCTGCTGCTGATATAAGACGAGGATGACGGAGTATGATGAGGAGAAGCAGCGTGCGTGCCCGCGACGACCACAAGACGGTGCTGGGAAGGGGGGGGCGCCTGGGACTTGCTCTGCTCCAAGCTCCTCTGCAGCCCAGCGATGGTGGTCTCGTGGTGCTGCGCCGAGTGGGACTTCTGGCGCCTCCGTCGTCGTGGCCGTCAGTGGTGGTCGTCGTGCTCGTCGTCTCGGGAGGAGGGAGGCGGAGGAGGACGAGGAAGAGGGACCAGAGCCACGCCGAGATGGATCAACGATGCTGCAGCACACCCTCCCGTCCCGAGTCCCCTCTTCACTGGCCCCACGCGAGCATTCTCTTCCTCGCGGCGCGAGGCGACCCCCTCTTGAAGGACGACCGCACGCCATGGGCCCGCGACTCGGCCGGGAGCTCCGTCATGCAAGACACCGTTCCCCGCCCTTCGAGCTGGAAGGAATGCGACGCTCGTTTCTAGACGAGCGCGTCCCACTACTCGCAGAGTTGGCACTCGCAAGGGGGCTCGATCCGCCGCGGGGGATCTACGATCCACCACGCAGAGGAAAACGTGTGTCTTTCTGGACGCTTGCGAGTAGGCACTTTGCGAGGAGGAGGAGGAGGAGGAGGAGGAGGAGGAGGAGGAGGAGGAGGAGGAGGAGGAGGGGAGGAGGAGGAGGAGGTTCGCGAGTAGTGGCGCGTGCTCGGTGAGTTCTTTCCGTTCCCCCCCCCCCCCACGCCCTGTGCGCGCGCCCCCGCGGCGAGCGGCGAGCGGCGAGCCCTCGCCCGCGGCCGTCGCCCCCGGGCACCTCTCGCCGCTCCCAGAGGGGCAGGCGCCCCCAGAATCGAATCGACGTCGGATCGGCGATCGACATGAATCTAGGAAGGCACCAACTATACACCAACACCGATCCTGGCCAGGATCACCCTGGGCCCAGGATCGGTGTATACGCCCTCCTGCCCTGCGCAAGAAGGCATATACACCGATCCTGGGCCCAGGGTGATCCTGGGCCAGGATCGGTGTTGGTGTATAGTTGGTGCCCTCCGAATCGACATGAATCGCGTCGGCGGAAATCGACAACGGAGTCGGTGAACGTCGAATCGGCGGGACTCGGGAGGCTACAAGCAGCAGGCCTCCAGCGAGAGAGCGGACTCCAGATCGGAATCCGAAGTCGAATCGGATCGGAACCGGCAGCCATCGAAGCCGAATCGCATCGAATCGGCGGGATCGAAACGAGCCCTGGCAGGGGGCGCGCGCCCCGCGCCCACCGCCGGCCGCTGCCGGCGGCGCCGCCCCGAGCCGGGAGCGCCAGAGCTCCGAGGGATGGCCGTGAAGCCCGCGGCGCTCCGTGGGCAGCGCCCCGGCGGCGAGGGCTCGGCGCCCCGCGGCCGTCGTCGTCGTCGTCGTCGTCGTCGTCGTCGTCGGTCGTCGTCGCCGCCGCCGCCGCCGCCGTCGTCGTCGTCGTCGTAGTCGCCGCCGCCGCCGCCGCCGCCGCCGCCGCCGCCGCCGTCGTCGTCATCAGCCTGCTGTTGGTCCTCCTGCTCCTGCCCCCGTTGTGCCTCGGGAGGCGAGGCCTCAGCTCAGGTCGAAGCCGCACTCGGCGCGGATCGCCTGCGTGACCTTCGCCTTCAGGGCCTCGAAGCTCCTGTACTGCGGAAGCTTGAGCAGGTTGGCGCAGGTCGAGGCGGTCGGCAGGCGGTCGGGGTCGGGCACGCTGTGGATGCAGAACTTCGGGCGCAGGGTCCCGAAGCCCAGCAGCGGCGGGCGGCTGCACGAGGTGGTGAACATGAGGAAGCGGCCCATGTCCTCCACGTCGAGGTGCTCCCGCAGCAGCGTCCACAGCCACTGGATTACGGGGCTGTCCTCGTGGTAGTCGCCGCCGTAGACCGTGGCCGCGCGGAGGTCGGCGACGTCGAAGCCTGCCGAAGAGCCAGAAACCAGGGTGTTCAACTCGTACGGGTCAAACATCTTCAGCCACGACAGCGGGATGACGCACTGCAGTCCTTGAACGAAAGCGGTCGTGTGCTTCTGTATCTGCAAGTTCGTCCTGAAGTTGGCCACGACGTGGAGGTATTGGGTCAGATTTTCCCTCGTCACTGCGATGTCGCGGCCGTTGGGAATCAAGTCAATCTCCTCGGCGGTGCCCACGACGATGCTGAAGGTGAGGCCTAGCTCCTCGACGCTGGCGTGCTCCTTCAGCCGCCGCATGCCCCGGTGAAGCTCTTTGTCGAGAGCGGCGACGTCGTCGATTTCGTTGGTGTGGCCGAGAATGCGATTCAGGAAGACCCGGCTAAACTGCGGCTCAAGTAATAGCATCTCATAGATCGCCTTGCCTACAACCTTTCCGATGAATCTGTACAGCTCCGACGCGTTTGCATGGGAGCGGAAGGCCGTCGGAGACGGAAAGATCGTCCAGTCGTCCGTCGCGGCGAAGAGGCCGAATTCGGGGCTGAAGATGGTGCGACCAAGTGAGACCATGAACTCCTTGAAGAGGCCTCCGCCGTCGATGCCGCTCTCCGGTTCGCCGTCGGGTCCGATGAACTCGATCTTGAACACGGACCGGAGCTCGTCCTCGTCGTTGAGGCCCGAGAACGCGGCGAAGCCGTCCTCCACCAGCGACGACCGGCGTACGCGGTGCTGCGGCAGCGCGGCCCTGGCCCAGGCGGCCCTGGCGTCCAGGCGCCCGCTCTGGTCCGCCAGGATCACGCTGTGCAGCAGCGCAACGCGGTCCTGGAAGGGCAGCACGTGTGGCACCTCCTCCAGCACCGCCTCCAGCACCTGCCTGGCGGAGCTGTCCCCGCCCAGCCGGGCCCTGCGGCGCTGGGCCTCGCGCTCCCTCTGCGCGGCCGCCGCCGGCGCGGCGGCCGCCGCGTCGGCCCCGTCCTCGTCCACGTCCATGCCTGAAGCGTCGTCGTCTGCCTGGGCCGCGGGAGCCTGGTCCAGGCCCAGGTCGACCACCGGGGCCTTGGCGAGCAAGGCGCTGGCCTCCGGCACTGTCCACCAGGGCGCCCCCGTGGTCCCGCTGGCGTCCTCCAGGATCGGCATCCGCAGCTGCCGACGATAGAGGGCTCGCACGAGTGCGGTCAGGGAGGTCCGCAGGGCGCTGCCGAACGGCGTGAGCGCGCTGCGGTCTGGCCACTGCGCCACGAAGCAGTAGGCCAGCCTGTTGAGGAACGGCACCAACCGGCCCACCTCCGCGGGGCTCAGCGGGTTGGCGGCCCCGAAGAACTCCGCGTCGTACAGCGACTGGAGCTGCACCGTGTACACGCTGGAGAAAGCCATCAGCTGCATCGCCTGCAGCGTGCCGAAGTGAGGAGTCGCAGAGCTCTCACTGCCGCGGTCGGAGCCCAGCACTCTCAGTGCCGTCGCGATCGAGGAGCACCTCGCGAGCTCCGAGACGTGCGGGGCCAGTCTTTCCACGATCGGAACACAGAACGCCAGTGACTGCAACGCCTCCTGGGATATCTGCTCGGCAGCGCCGACGGCACTGGAGGCCAGCAGCATCTGCAGCGAGTGAGCCCTGGCTGCCGGTAGGTCCAGCGAGTCCACAAAGCCGCGCAGAGGCACGTACGCTCGCGCGCTCGCAGCCCGCAGCAGCTCGGGTGATGCGCCTGGGAAGTAGAGCTCCAAGGCCACGGGCATGAGACTTCTCGAGCCCTGAGGATCAACGTTCGCCAGCAAGGAGCGCACGACGTGCGGGCCATGAAGCGCCGCCAGCCCCTCTGGGAACGCGCCGGTGCGGCTCGCCGACGGCGCGCGCGCCTTCACCCAGCAGATCCACGCCAGCGCCGCGCGGGCGGCCTCTGCGTCCGCGCGGTCCAGGAACGCCTGGGCGAGGGCCACGAAGTTGCCGAGAAGCCAGGCCCATCGCGAAGAGCCCCTGACTTCTTCGCCCAGAGCCATCGCGATGGCCGCCGCGTCCTCGTCGCGCCGTGGCGCCGGAGGCGCCAATCTCGCGACGCGCAGCAGGACCTCGTAAGAGCGCGGGTGCGACCTCCCAGGGCCCGAGATCTGCTCGCAGAGCAGGGGCGCGGAGAGGAGGCACATCGCCAGCCGCACCTGCTCCTGGCCCGCGGTGGCCTCCACGCCGCAGCAGCACAGGTGCACCAGCTCTGGGCCTCCGTCCTGCCCCGGCGCCGCGGCGGCCGCCGAGGCTGCGCCGGCGCCCGGCGCCGTCTGCGCGGCACCCCCTGGCTCGACGAGCAGCGCCTCTCTCGACAGGGCCGGGAGCAGCGCCGTCCTCTGCGGAGGAGGAGGGGGAGGAGGAGGAGGAGGAGGAGGAGGAGGAGGAGGAGGAGGAGGAGGAGGAGGAGGAGGAGGAGGAGGAGGAGGAGGAGAAACGAGCAGCGCTGGCTCGACGAGCAGCGCCTCTCTCGACAGGGCCGGGAGCAGCGCCGTCCTCCTCAGCAGCTGCGACACGGCGGCGCCGCGCAGGCGCGCGGCCTCCGGGGCGGCGTCGCCGTCCGCCCACAGCGCCCCCTGGAGCAGCCGCAGGAGCTGCGCGGCCTCCCCGGCCTCGCCCAGCTGCAACAGCGCCGCGAACAGCCGCTCTAGGAGCACCAGGGAGCTCCTGCGCTCCGCGGTGTCAGGGGCGAGCGCCAGCCGCAGGAAGTTGGCCTGCGCGGCCTGGGACGCCGAGAAGCGCACCATCTCGACGGCCTTCGCCAGCCGCGCTCTGTCCTCCCGGGCCGAGAAGGAGAAGGCGAGCAACCGTAGCAGCGACGCCAGGGCGCGGAAGACGACGGACGCGCGCTGCTCTGGCTGCAGTAGGTGCTCTACCTTGGCAAGGTCGGCACACCGCTTGTCGAACAGCGCCCTGTGGCCTGCGCCCACGGCATGCCTGCTGCGCCAGCCTCTGAATGCAGACTGGATGGAGAGGGCTGACTTCTCCCGGATGCGCTTCTGCTCGCGCTCCTCCCGCTCTCGGTGCTGCCTCTTCAAGAACACGTCTCGGCTCTCGTTGCCCTGCCTCTGCCTGCCGCGTCCGGCACCGCTCAGGCTCACCTTGCCGTACGAGTCGGTGCCGCCGAACATCGCCTCGGTGCCAAGGCGACGCTCTGGCGAAACCCAGCGCAACTGCACGTGGGGGGTGGGCGACTCGAGCTGTGCTGGAGCCAGTGGCTACGGAGGAATGCGACATGGTCGGGCTGTACAGTTCGAGGAAGTGCCCAGCGAGAGCCACGCTTGCAAAAGAGCCGCTCTCCATCCGCGCAGCCGCTGCAAATTTGATACACTGTGGTCACGACTCAAACGAGAGCCGTATTTTGAACATGAACAGCCCTCGATCTATGGTACCTTTGCGCAATTTAAGCGCCTGTGGCCACCATTGCAATGTCCGAAGCGTGATCCAAATTTTGGAAGCGAATTGGCCTCCACCCATGTAACTGTTGGAAGCTCTTCAGACGAATGCGCGCGACACTAACTTGAGGTTAAGTGAGATACGCGTGCACTCAACGGAGGGAGAGGAGGAGAGGAGGGGACGAGAGGGGGACCAGGACAGGGCGATGGTATTTTCATGGCAGCGTGGCGACGCGCATCTCCGCCTGGGCGTGGGCCCTGATGGCCCCACGCTCAACGCGAGCGCGTGGGCCCTGACGGCCCGCGCGCTCGCGCTCTGGCACGCCTGCGGCCGCTCGGCCGACGCAGGCGTCTGGGAGCAAAGCGGGGTGGGTGGGCACCCGCGCGTCGGCCAGAGCCGAACGCTACGGACCCAAAATGGCTACCTGAGCCCACACCCCCTCCCACTTAACCTGCAGTCTACAACCAATCAGACTATACAAGTTAAGTGAGATACGCGTGCACTCAACGGAGGGAGAGGAGGAGAGGAGGGGACGAGAGGGGGACCAGGACAGGGCGATGGTATTTTCATGGCAGCGTGGCGACGCGCATCTCCGCCTGGGCGTGGGCCCTGATGGCCCCACGCTCAACGCGAGCGCGTGGGCCCTGACGGCCCGCGCGCTCGCGCTCTGGCACGCCTGCGGCCGCTCGGCCATGAGAAAAGAAAAACGCAGCCGCGCGCGCGGGGACGCCCCGCCCGAGTGCGAGGGCGGAACCAGAGGCTGCAAGAGCCTCGCGCGCGCGGCCACTTGCCTGCAACCTTGAGGCCTTCCGCGCCCCGCGCACCCAGAGCGCGGGCGCGGCGCGTGCGCGATGCGCGCAAAAGAACCGAAAGGGGACGGCGCACGATGCGCCGGGCGCAGAGCGCAAGTGTGGCCCCGACCGCACGGCGCGCAAGACGCGCGGCACGGCCGGGTCCAGGAAGCACGCGACGTGCGCGCAAAGTTAAACTCCTCCAAAGAGAGAGGATCGCAGGCGCCACCTGCGTACCGTAGGCTAAAAGAAAGAAGATCGCAGGCGCCACCTGCGTACCGTAGGCTAAAAGAAAGAAGATCGCAGGCGCCACCTGCGTACCGTAGGCTCAAAGGATCGCAGGCGCCACCTGCGCACGGTAGGCTGAGAGGAGGGCCGGCTCACTCACAGGCCGCCGCCTTCAGCCCGCGCCCGCGATGCCGCGGGCGCTGGCGTCGGGGTACGGGGGGGGCTCCACGCCTAGATGGAGGGCGTGTTCCCCTGGCGGTCGCGGCTCTCGTCTCCGCTGCGGTCTCCGCCGCGCTCACTGGGGTCCCGGGGGCTGCCGCCATCGCCGCCCCTCGACGCGCGACCGTCCGCGCTGGGCCAGTCACGCTCACTCCGGCCGCGGCTGCCCTGGTCGCCCTTGGAGTGGCCGCCCTTGCCGCTCTTGTCGCCCTTGCCGCCGCTCTTGGAGCCCTTGGCGGCCTTGCCGGAGTGCTTGCCCTTGACCTTGCCGCCCTTGCCGCCCTTGTCGCCCGCGCCCTTGCCACGCCAGGCTGGGATCCCACCCCCGCCCGCGGCAGCCTCCGCGGCGGCAGCACGCCGCCGCTTTTTCTCCTGCTCGTACCAGCCGCCGCGAGGAGCGCGAAGCTGCCCAGCGTGCTTCCCGGTCTTACGCCGCGTGCGGCCGGGAGGGGTGTCGCCGCGCCGCGCCCACGCTGGGTCCCGCGCCAGACTGCGGCTGGGCGACCTCTCGCGCTTGGGCCGGTTGCGGCTGGGCGACCTCTCACGCTTGGGCCAGCTGAGGTCGCCCGGCGGGCGGTCCCCCTCAGCCCCCGCACCCGTGGCACCCGTGCTGGGGCGCTCTCCATGGCCGGCACTGGGGCCCGGCGCCTCCCGCACGGTGTGGCCGCTCCGCCGGGCCTTCTCCACCACCGTCTTGGGTTTGCCGAAGGCGACGCGGCAAGCCTCGCAGTAGCTCACGTCGCACCCCTTACAGTGCCACCGCAGGGCTCCGCTGTTAGCTCCGCCCGCGGGGCACATCTCGCAACCCCAACCGTCTCCCGGGTCAAAGGAGCTCCAGCGCATCTTGAGTGCGCACGTCGGGCAGGCAGGCGGCTGGATGGTCGGGCCATCCTCCCCGTCGCTGCCTGGGTCAGGGCCGCGAGGTCGGCTCGCCCACTCCGTGACCACCGTGCACGGGTCCGTCTTGTAGAACCGATAGTTCGACCTCATGCACTCCCGCGCGCGCTTTGCGTCAGCGCGGCGCTGGAACTCCACCAGCACGCACGGCTCCCGCTTGTGGCGGTGGTCGTACAGGAAGGCGATGTGTTTGACGACCCCAAAGGGCACGACCACCTGCCTGACCACCTCGGCATCGACGTGGTGCGGTACCCGCTCGATGCGGATGATGGACTCGCCCTCGTCGTGCTGGTCACTGGGCTGCTGCTGGGCGCCCTGGCGCTGCTCCTCCTTGCGCCTACGGCGGCTCCTCGAGCGCGGCTGGCGCTGGGGCGGACCGTCCCCCGCGCCTGGCGCCGCCGCCTCCTCCACCTCGGTCTTCACCTCGAAGGACCGCGGCGGCGCCCCCCCGCTCTTGGGCTTCAGGACGGCCTCACGCTTCACGATGTCGGCCTTCGGGGGGGCGCCGCCCGTCTTGGGTTTCAAGACGGCCTCCTCCTCCTGTCCCCTGCGCCCGCGATCGCGAGGCGCATCGCGCTCGCGATCGCGACGCCTCGCGCGCGAGGGCGAGCGCAAGGGCGCAGGGCGCCTCTCGCGCTTGCGGACCTCTTCGGCGAGGCGCTCTTGGCCCGGGGACCGCGCGGGCCGCGGGCGCTCCGCTGGAGCGCCTTTGCTCTGGCGCCGCGCTGCAGCCTGGATGGCCGCACGCGCCAGCGCCGCGGTGACCGCGTCCTCTCCCGCCTCGAGGACCGGGGCTGGGGTCGACCTCCCCTCGCCCCTGCTCGAGGCGTCGTCCACGTCGGTGAGCTCCACGACCGCCTCCGCGTCCACCGTGCGCATCATGTCGAGCAGCCCCCTGTTGTGCTTGCAGAGCTCGCGGAGCTCCGGCATGGGCTGCCCCTGGAACTGGGCCAGGGCGAGCGCCAGCTTGGCCGCCTGGCGCTGGACCTTGATATTCGGCCCCGCGCCCACCCCCCACGCGCCCCGCTTGCCGTCGACGATCACCAGCTGGCCGTGGTCCTCGCTCGCCCCCGCGGCCAAGCAAGCCGCCGCGATGCACGGGGCTGCTTCGTGGTCGTGGTTGACCACCTCGACGAGGTCCTCGCTGTCCAGCTCGTTCACCACCGTGTACAGGATGTTGTGGGCGGCACTCCGGAGCTCGTCCGACAGCGCGGCCCCCGAGACGACGACGCCGAGGGGGTTCACCGCCATGATGCTGTAGTCATGGCCACGCGCCTTGCTCTGGTCCGGGGCCACCAGGCCCACCAGGAATCCCATGATGTACGCTGCCGGAGCGCGGGGCGGAGGCGCGGCTGGCGCGCGAGGCTGGGGTGCGCGCGCTGCTCGCGTGCCTCGCTCTGGAGTGGGAGATGGCTGCGGATGAGAGGACCAAGAGGAGGTGGGCGTGCCTGGGGCGATCGGGAGCGGTAGCGAAAGGGGGGTCGAGGGCGAGAGGTCCACCGGGATACCCCCACAACGCGAAGCCCCCGCCCTGACCTGAATACCCGTGGGACCCGCCTGCTGCTTCCCCACACGCCCGTTAACTCCTCGCCCTGGCTCGTATCTCACCAGCTCCTCCTCTCCTTCCCCCTCCGTAGTTGACCCTGCTCGCGCCGAAGGGCGCGCCCAGGGGGGGCGCCCGGGCGCCCAGGCCGGGCGTTCCGAGGGCCTCAGGTCGCTCCCAAACTGGGGCGGGTCGCTCCCGGCCAACTGGTCGGGGCGGGCGCCGGCCGCGGCGCCGTCGTCACCGCGGGCGTCCGGGGCCAATAAGGCGTGGCCCTCCGCCATGCCTCGGGCGAATGGAGCCTGACGCCGATGGTCCTCCCAGAGATATCCGTGGAAGGCGTCCGTGGACCACCTCCCGAACCTCTTGACCGCTTCCAGGTCGCGACAGGCGTGGTACAACGCCGTCGCGCCCCCGATGCGCAGGGAGTGGGATCCCATCTGGCCTGCGTCCACGCCGCAGGCGGCAGCCGCGAGTTGGAGGAGCCCCTGCACCTCCTCCCGCATAATCGGGTGGCCATCGGGCCGGCGGAACAGGGGGAGCCCCGCCTCGGTTCCTCGTCCAAACCGGTCCGGCAGCTCCCTCTGGAGGTCGGCGAGTGCGTCCACGACACACAACTCCACCCCCGAGCGGTAATGGTTGCGTACGCAACCTGCGTTGAACTGGTCCGTCTTGGACGACGTGATCGTCAGTACTACCTCATCGCAGTCGCTGAGCCTTGCGCTGGGTGTACCCCCGCGCATCCCCTGTACGTCCTGCCCACGCACCACCCGTCCCATGCTCCAGGAGCGGTCCTCTTGGACCAAATACTCCGACGCGCGGAGCATGAAGAAGTACCCCGTCATAAGCGCCGCCCATAGGATGGTCGCCTCCCGGCGCGTGGCCGTCCCGTGGGCGAACAAGTACTCGCGGAGCCAGCGCAACATCCGGGGCGTGGCCGGCAGCTTCCGTTTCGCCTTTCCGTCCCAGCGGCGGAGTCCCTCGATCGTGGTCCAGAGCCGGCGCCGATCGGAGGTCACATCCCCAAACCCGGCCAGGGTGTGGGCATATCGAATGGCGAACAGGCGCTGGCGGATGGTCGTGGCCCGCCTCTTCATCACCTTGCACAGGTACACGACATACCGGATGAGGTCATCCTCATCCGTAAGGCGGGCGTCCCGAGTCTCCCCCTGCAGGTATG